GATAGGGAGAGGGGCAGAGAGAGAGACACACACAGAGAGATACGGGGGGGGGGAGGAAGAGGCAAAAAAGAGAGGGGGGGGGAGAGAGGAAGAGAGTGAGAGAGAGATAAGAAAGAAAAGAAAGAGAAGAGAAAGAAGGAAAAAAGAGAAAGGAAGCGAAAGGAAGAAAAGGGATGGACAAAGAAAGGGAGAGATGGAAGGAAGGGACAAAGAAAAAGAAAGAGAGGGAGGGAGGGAGGAGAATGTGAATGAAATATATGGATGGATAGATACATGGAGGGAGGGAGGGAGGGAGGGAGAAAAAAAAGGAGGTTCTGAACGGAGCCAGAGCCATTCGAACATATGACTGGCACATCGTTGGGCTGTTTAGCATTCCTTGTGGCAAAACCTTCCATTGATAACGAAAGGTAGGTGCATTGTTATTCAACTCAGGTACGGTAAAGGCAAATAATTGCTTGTCATCTGCATGCAAAGGGATAGAAAAGAAGCAATCCCGCAAATCTACTACAACTAGATCCCAATTGCGCGGGATCAGGTTCGGGTTAGGCAAGCCACATTGTAACGCTCCCATTGGTTGAAGGATGGTGTTGACAGCTCTCAAATCATGTAAAAATCTCCATTTTCCATTTTTCTTTTTGATAACAAACACCGGAGTGTTATACGGACTAGAAGTTGGCTCAATGTGTCCTAATTGTAGCTGCTCAGCTACCAATTGATGTAAAGCTATAAGCTTTTCCTGTGAAAGTGGCCATTGGTCAATCCAAACTGGCTGAGAGGTTAACAGTTGTAACTTTTCCATTATCCAATAACAATTTTTGTGCGGAACTGTGACAGCAAATCTCTACCCCACAAGTTTATGTGCAGGGGCAACACAAGAGGTTGAATCCTTGCGGTCTCGCCAGTTGCTCTATGCAATGCCGTCAACCAATGTACACTACTTCTTGCAAACTGCATACCACCCACTCCACAAACAGCCGGAGAGTCCTCAAGCGCCCATTCATTTGGCCATTCCTTTTGGCGTATCACAGAGACATCTGCTCCGGAATCTATAAGGCCAGAAAATGATTTTCCTTGAATTTCAATTGTCATTTTAGGTTGATCTGTAGTCAACTTTTTTGTCAGCGCTAGCAATTCTGCAGCAACTGGAGAACTAGCCATTTCAGTGGACCCAAAACCGCCAGTTCGTGGGATCCCAATTAAAGGATTCATAGGAATGTATGGAAGCAATAATAACTGGGCAATAGAGTCACCGGCCATTAATGATGTAGGAGTATCAGTGTACAATTGTACCTTAATAACCCCTTTATAAACTTGATCAATAACCCCTGGAATAACAAAGAACCCTTTTTTTGATGCAGAAGACTGGGGAAGTACCAATCCCACTGTTTTTTCTGGCAGTGGCCCATGCAAATGAGTGTCCTCAATGTACACTTGATTAGGAAAAGTCACATCAATCGAGTGCAACATTTTTAAACCCAAACCTGCACTCCCAGTAGTTGCAGGCGATGCTTTTGTGACAGCCTTGGGAGCGGGGCTAGCTGCACGCCCCAAATTTAGTTTCCCGAATTTTGATTTTGATCAGAGCAACATTGATTTGCCCAATGAAACCCTTTTTTGCATTTTGGACAGACCGACTTCGGGCGGACGTCCCTAATTTTGTTTTTGTTAAATGCCATTCCCCCCCCAGGGGATCGGCACTGGGCTTTAAAATGGCCAGGCTTCCCACAATTAAAACAGTTCCCCATAGGTTTCATCCCTTTTTGTAATGCCATAGCCAAAGTCTCCATGTTGTAAGCCTGAGAACCCACCACTGCACATGCCTTTAACAGATCAGCCAGAGTAACCTCACCTCTAGCCACCAAAGGCTGTAAGATACGCTTGCAGTCAGCATTTGCATTTTCGACTGCCAATCTTAGCAAAAGTTCCTTTGCTGCTTCTTCATTGGAAATTTGCCGGGTAATAGCCAATTGTAGCCTTTCCACAAAATCGTTATAGAACTCAGATGCTGTTTCCTTAATTTGAGAAAAAGACCGTGCCGGGGTTCCCACATCCTGCATGCGGGACAGTGCCCCAAGGACAGCTGCCATAACCACGGGAAATACGTGATCAGGCAAATTAGTAGCTTGATCAGCAGTGGATTCAAACAAGCCTGTCCCATAGATTTGGTCTGGCGTATACAGCCCTCCTGAATTCCGTCCCCTATTGATAGCTTCCCTCTGGTATTCTGAATCAAAAACCACATACTGAGTAGAACTCAATATCATTATATACCAGATTCTTTATTGTTGATATGGGAAAACATAAGAAAACATTATATGAAAATGGCAGTCTGGTTGTCAACTACAGAAGCATTTGCATACCCAGTTGTTTATAGAATGGAACACACGGTTAGATATGGTGAAATTTTAAATGAAAAGGGTGAACTCAAATCTAGAGCAAAAAAATTCCAATAGAGGAAGAGGTAATTAAGAAAATGATGGAATGTGCAGAAATGAGTAAATTGACATTAGCAATCAGAGAGCAAGAAGATAAAGAATATTATAAAATTTGGGATTTATTTTATCAATGGCTAGATAAGAAAATAGAGAAGTAAACTATGTTATGGAAAGGAATAGTATAATATGTAAGATAATATAATGTAATTATGTTATATAATTGAATATAAGGAAATGAATTACGATCCCAGGTTTGTTAAAATAGAGATTTGCTTGATAAGAAATATATACATTTTTAGTTGGGTCTAATAACGATACAATAACAACACAATATAACATAATATGTATAGTTGACTTATGTAATATGAATGTATATTTGGAAGGGAAGACTGTTGATATTGTGACATTGCACTAAAGAAATGTACCAACCAACACACTGTATTTTGGAAGATGGTTTTATGTTGATGTTTTATGTTTGTTTGTGTTTGTCTTTTTTAAAAAATAAAAAACTTTATAAAAAGAAATGCTGTGCACCCGCGTGCAGCGCTTGCCAGCTGTCCAGGTGGCACAGCTGATTTCTTGCAAACGCTGTGCAACACATGTCCAGGTGGCACAGCTGATTTCTTGCAAACGCTGTGCAACACAGTGCTCATCAGGCGTGGTCGCGTGCACAGCACACGGCCGCGCGCAAAACGCGTGCTCACCAAACCAGTTGTAACACTGGTTGGATCCCACCCCTGCGTGTTGGCACTTCACAATAAATAAGTGGGTTTTGGGTTGCAGTTTGGGCACTCGGTGCCGAAAAGGTTCACCGTCACTGTGCTATGCCATTTCTGGCTCTAGGTTTCAGCTTCAGGTACTGAAGTATTATCCACATGTCCTCCACATCTGGAAGTATTGGTACTTTTAAGATGGAAGCCTAATATGTTTTTGCCATGTTCCTAATGAACCCCCCCCCAACCACTTTCAATTTTTGTTATTTCTCTATTTCTGAGGCAAGAAGCAAACAGGAAAAAAATGGTTTCGCTTTGTGTCAATTTGGGAAATCTCAGGACTGAGAAAATGTCATGTTTCCTCGTTTCTGTCCACCGACAAAAGTGAGGAAGGGCCCACAGTTTTGCCCCTTCTCCCTTTCCCTCGGATTTCCCCCTCTGCCAAAGGAAAAGGCAAGGTTTGGCAAGACAGCAAAAGAAAGACAATGTCACGCTCTTGCTGTCAGCTGCAAACGCCTGCAAGGCCGAGCCTCTTCTTTCGCCTCAGTGCTTTTACTCAGAATACCCCGCCAACCTTCCAGAATAAAGTGGTTTCCAGCCTTGGAGGACGGTGCTGCAACGGATCCTTCCTAGGTGTCTCGCGAAATGGCCATTGGGCACCTCGGGGGCTCTTAATACGAGCTTTAGGCAGCGGTGCCAAGCGCGGCTGAGAAGGTCCATCTTCGCACCTGCACACTGCTGAATTGAACTTCTTGCGCATCCCTTCCCCAAGCAAACTACAAGCTGGACCCAGCAATTTTCGGACCGAGGTGCACAGTTCATCCCCCTCCCCCCCGTCTGCTTTGTGTGCGGGACAGCTGGCGTACAGCACCTCCTTATGGGCGTTGGGCCAGAAGCCTCATTGGAATTCAGGAGTTCCGGTGCTTGAAATATTCATGCATCGAAAGCGCCTTCCAGATGGGTTGGATTACAACTCCCGCCTAGCAGGTGGCTCAGAATGATGAGAGTTGCAGTCCAATATATAAAAAGCGCGCCAAATTGTGCCTGCCCTCCTACAAGTAAATCTTACTTAAAAGACCTACTTTTCAAACAGGACTGCACTGTTATGGGTATCGTTTCGGAGTCCGTTTTAATCTCGTCCCAGGCGGTTTTCCCAGAGGCTACAAAAGGCCGGACCTTTTGGGTTAGAGCGGGAAAATAAATGCCAGATTTATACCAAAAGCGTCACTGCTTGGCCATCTTCAACCAGGCTGCAATTTTCTCTGGCGCCGGTAAATTCCATCCTTGAGCGCGAGAGCAGTCAACCTGTTTAGTCAGGGAGCAAACAAGAGAAAAACCCTCAGCCAGTGGCCCGGGATTGTTCGCGGCTTGCGAAGCATTCTCGGGAGTTGGTTTTAGAAGTGCCAGGAAAAGTGCCTATCGGAACACGTTCATTTCACTTACGGAAACAACCGAAGAAACAACTGACACAGGGGGCGGGGCGTCCGGGAATACCAACGTCGCATAAAAGCGAGCGCTGTCAGCTCAACGGAAGCCTCCGATGTTTTCCGAGGCAAATCAGAATCGGACCCAGAGAATGCGAGCGCGCAGTCTGTACCTTTCACGGCAAGAGATTTCCGGCGTTGAACGGAAACGGCCTGCCACTCCAAAAAGAGACTCTCAGAATCTGGAAGGGAGGTAGGCGGGGCTTACGCCTAAAAAAGAGGAAGGTTATTAAAAAAAATTATAGGGGAGGAGTTTGGTCGGAAGGAGTCGACGTTAAGCGAAGGCGGTGGCGTCCCAGGTTCCCGGATGTAATCGGACGGCGGTAGTATTGGAAGCAGTGGCTGTCGGGAGGGGAAGGCGGCAGCGGTGGGGAAGTCGTCGTCGTCTCTCCTAAGTGTGCTTGTTGTGCAGCGCTGCCTGTCCTTGTGAGTGCGGAGAGGAGATGGGCCCGTGAGCGCCGCTTCCTCTCACAGCTGAGCTGCCTGAGCCACCCCTTCTCCCTCCCTTCCCCGTCCTTGGTCAGAGCGCTGCTTCCCCCTCCTCCCTCGGCGGCGTCCGTGGCCCGGCCGCGCCCTTTTGGTCCCCTCAGTCTCTCACACACAGACCGGGCATTGATGGTAATGTATGCGAGGAAACAGCAAAGACTCAATGATGGGTAAATACCCGTATCGCGTCCTGACCTCCCCGACTGCGCCTCTGTCACTGTTCCCCCCCCTCCCCAAACCCCGCGGTCCCTCCATGCTAATCGCCGGTAACGGTCGCTCGCTAACGTTATCCGTATTTCTGTCCGTCTCTTTCTCTTCAAGCTGTCACGACCGCAAGGGGGACTCGCAGCCCTACCAGGTACTGACTTCGCCCGCCACAGTCCCCACACTGAGCGACCCGGTGGCGGCAACAACTAGAGTGTGGGAGGGCGAGGTAAACTAATCGAGCGCAGGCTTCCGCCGACGCTGCAGGCCGCACACGAGCCGCCCCTTCGTCCGGCGCGCGGCCGGCCGGGGAAGGAGGAAGAGTGGGCGGTTGCAGTTGGTTTCCTTCGCCGAGCGCGGGGTGCCTGAGGAAGACAGCGGTAGGGAGGGGCCTAGGTCCTATGGTGGACGGGAGGACAGCGTTGTTTCTTTTTCTCCGGAAGAAAGCGGTGGGAAAGCGGTAAGGCAGCTGTTTATAGGAACTCTTCCCTAAAACAATAAAGGACCCTTACCCGTAGGGGAATTCTAGTTCTTCAATCCTCCTATTCATAAAGACCTTGTAAATTAGGAGTGGTGTAGGTAGGTACTCAGATGTTTGGAGACTCCTTGGAGCAGGGGTCTCCAACCTTGGCAACTTTAAGCCTGGAGGACTTCAACTCCCAGAATTCCCCAGCCAGCTTTGGGAGTTGAATTCTGGGAGTTGAAGTCCTCCAGGCTTAAAGTTGCCAAGGTTGGAGACCCCTGCCTTGGAGAGTGCCACGACTTTAGTTTGTAGTTGGCTTTTCTTCAGACATTTTTACTCCACCCTGGAGATCTGAAAGATTCTGCTGCTTGGAATGCAGCTCGGAAATGCCAAGTACTGTTGATATGTGTGTGAATGGGACAGCTGTGCAAAAGAAACGTTATATTAAAAAGAAATGGCCACTCAGAAATAATTTTGTTCAGGGGACTGAAAAATGTGGCACAATGAACCACTTGTTGGCCCAACAAAAATATTGTTGGCTTCACATAAAACAAGAACAGATGAAAAAATTTGTGAAAGCAATGAACAAGGAAAGTGAAGATTATTGCACACAATCATATGGCAGGAAGGTATTTTGGAAGTTCTCTAGTCCAACCCCCTGCCCAAAGCAGGAGTCCTCATACCAACCTGGACAAATGGTTGTCCAGTTGTCTTGAAAACCTCCAGTGATGAAGCACCCACAACTTCTGGAGGCAAGCTGTTCTGTTGATTAATTGCTCTCACTGTCAGGAAATTCCTCCTTAGTTCCAAGTTGGATCTCCCTCTGATGAGCCATTGTTTGTCCTGCCTTCAGGTGCTCTGGAGAATAAATTAACCCCCTCTTCTGTGGACAGCACTTTTAAGTATTGGAAGACTGCTATCATGTCTACCCTAAGGTTTCTCTTAGTTAGGCTAAACATACCTGTATCTAGTTCCCTTAGCTGTTCATCTTACGGTTTGGCCTCCAGACCCCTTTTCTTTGTTGCTCTACTCTGCAGTATGCACTCCTAGGGCATCAGCATCTTTTTTGTATTGTGACCAGAACTGGATGCAGTATGAAACATGTGGCCTAACTAGTGCAATATAGAGCAGTAGTATCACTTCCTGCAATCTTGATGCTATCCCTTGGTTGATGCTGCCTCAGACTGCATAGGCTCTTTTACCAGCTGCAGCACACTGCTGACTCATTTAAATGGTGGTCCAGCAGGATACCTAGATCCCTTTCACAGTTGCTACTGTTGAGCCAGGTACTGCCTGTTCTATACCCATACATTTGTTTTTTCCTGCCTAAGTGCAGTCTCTTGTTCTTCTCACCACTGAACTGTATCTTGTATAGGGCCCAATGCTTTGAGACAATTTGAGACAGAAGTTTCCAAGAATAACTGATGCCAAGATTAAGGAAGGCATTTTTGTTGGTCCTCAGATCTGATACATCATCAATGACAAATGGTTCATCCATTAGTGGGGCCAGAGAAAAACCCCTGGAAAACATTAAAGAATGTAATTGAGAATTTTCTTGACAGTTACAGAGCACCAAATTACATTCAGTTGATTGAGAAACTTCTTATAGCATGCAAGACCATGAACTGCAACGTGTCACTGAAGATTCATTTTCTACATTCATACTTTGACTTCTTTCCTGAAAAACTAGGTGCAGTCAGTGATGAACATGGTGAAAGGTTTCACCAGGGCATTGCCACAATGGAAAAACAGTATCAGGGCAACTGGAATCCATCCATGCTGGCTGACTATTATTGGACACTGGCAAGATGCATCAGGCACAAGAGTATAAATGAAAATTGGCAACACACTTTTAGCTCTGTTAAACTCATGCAGCATGTTGGAAACGTGATTAAATACATTATAGTCATTCAAAGTTAATTCCATATTTTTCAATATTCCTACATGATACAGTTATCCTGAAATTATATTTGTGTTCAGTTTGAAGGGGTCCATCATAATCACCAAAAGTTTTTCAGGAAGCAAAACTTCTGAAAAAAATGTTCATCAATGTATTTGGAGGCTGTACTGGATGACAGCTTGCCTTGTGTAAATATCCACAAGGCAAAAGGTGTATATTGCAAAATAATTCAGATGAAGACTTGCTAACCATAGCTGCTCTCTGTTTTATTCAGTACAGCACGAAGTGGTTTTGCTATAAAAGTACAGATGGAGCAGTTGCTATGTACCTACACTATCTCACTTGCATAATCTTTTGAGAATTTTTGAATCTGTAGTCTCTCAGAAAAATGTTTTTGAAACTACATAACTGCTGTCTTCACAAATGAGATCTTATTAAAATTAAGTAAAACTTAAAATACTTAAAATTAAATATTTTTGTACTTTGGGTAAACTATATAAATAAGCTTTTGATAGAGACAAGTTACCACCATGAAATGCCTCTTATAGCAGTATCATATTTATATAACTATTAACAGATACATCTGTTTTTCAAAAGCTTGCTCTCTTTAAACAGCTAGAAGTATGACCATATACTCCAAATATGTTACTTTGTTAAAGATAGTGTACACATTACCGTCTGTTTGGATTAAGAATCAGAAACTTAAATGCATTGTTTTTAGTAGATCCCATTGATCAATGATAGAACTCATTAATAGAAAATAAACATCCAGAATAGCTAGGAAATTTTTTAAAGCAATCAAGTATTGGGTTACATTCTGGATAATCTGATAAGTAGATCTGCAGATAGTTTTGGACAGCTGCAAAGCAAACTATTGCTGAACTGTTCTGAATTGAGTTGTCTGAAAAATAGTTCGTGATATACCATGGTGATTATGTCCAAGAATAATACCTATAATAACCTAGAATATGCCTTAAGTATATACTTTAAATGTCAGATATTAGATTAAAAATCTGAATAATAAAAGCATCCATTGTAAATTCTAGGTATAATACCACAATTTAAAATATATATTCTTGTAATTTCTTACAGGCTCTTAAGTACACATCAAAGAGTCACCCCAGTGGTGGTGGTCACCGGCATGACAAGATGCGAGACTCCACAGACCCTTCACCACCAAATAAAATGTTGCGGCGATCCGATAGTCCTGAAAACAAATACAGTGACAGTACTGGACACAATAAAGCTAAAACCATTCCTGGTCACAGAGTTAGAGAAAGGGATGGTGGTGAGTTTCCTTTAATCTTTATTTAAATATTAAAATAATAGTTGAATCAATTTGCCTCACCATTATTTCAGCCTGGCAGAGCACTACGGAAAATACATAGACACTATATAAAAAAGAAATAGGTTTTAAATAGTTTTTTAATGGTATTTTTATTTTCATCTTTATCCAAAGTAGATAATTGCCTTTTTACATATAAGAAATGTATGGTATGGCAAGCTGAGGTGTTTGAAATCTCCATCACATTTTGTGTTTGTTTAATGTTCTTAAGTTACTACTTTTTTAATTCCTTTGACAATTAGCTAAATTCAGCAGCAAGGTGTATTAGCACATTATAGCTAATACTAGTCAATACTTAAAAATAGCACTGGTTATCTGAAAAGCTTTTTACAAGTAGAAGAGAATTCAGAAAACATGCTCACCATTATTTTGGAGACACTTAAAAGTGCCTGATGTGATATTTTCTACTATGAAAGGCTAGCGAGCTGCTGATTGCTTTATGTGTGCAGGTTTGCTGCCTGAGAGAAACAAGGTACATCCATAATATAGGATAGTATAGGATCATCCTTATTGGTTCAGGCCTGCTGCTTTAACTGTTTGGAAGTAAATGAGAAGTTCACTGAGCCCTTTTAATCATTAGGCTTGGTTTACTGTGTAGATACATAGCAGCATACTGTGCTTTATGCAGTAATCTGGAAAGGGTTTTTTGTTCTTACTAGTAATCTTTTTGGTCATAACTGATAAACAGATTTTCTTGAATTCTTCAGTTGAACTTTTCTTTTAATTGCTATTTTTTAAACCTTACTTGTTGCTTCATTAAAGCATTTACTATGTTTTATGCCTAAAGAAGCAAGTTTCAACTCAAGTTGCTTGTAGTATGCATGTCATAAAATGCAGCTCATCACTGTTAATCAGAAAATTAGGAATATTGTACATATACTTCATTTTATTAATAAAGGAGAATATTTGTACCTCAGGGTTGAAAAGAGGGGTCCTTGGTGCTCTCTGAGCTTGGTTGTTTTCTTGTAGATATTTCATTACCCCAAATAGATAACATCATTTTTGCACTGTTCAAATTAAAATTGAATAATGATTATCTACCAGAGTGATGACAATAATATCATCTACCACAGTGATATTGCAAAGGAGTAAAGTGGGATTTCAGGGCATCCAGGAAACCATGTCTTAACATGTACTGTACTTTCATTTCAGTAATCTGAATTGTGTGGCACTGTTAACATTTGTTATTTCAACTGCCTAATATATCTTCCATCCCCAGAAAAATTAGGAAAGGCTTACTCAAGTGATAATGTAGTGTAACTGAATGAATATTGGAACTTGAAAATCTTGGTATCAAATCCTCCACTCAGCCCTGAAGTAAATTTTGACATCTATACCCAAACATTCAGGGCTCTAGAGAAATTAAGGGTGGGATTATATTGTCACTTGCTATATAGTTGTTTTTATAAATTGGGTAAATTAAACCAGAGCTTTTAGTGTCATAGTTATTTGCGCTTTACAAATTCAGAAATATTTCCACGAAGCCTGTTTATTTTTGTTGTAATCTAATTGTAGTTCTTTTACAATTGGGTTTGATGAGTATATTCTACATGTATTCAGGCAAGGGATATTTCGGATTATTTGTATTGGAAATAATTTGCAAATATTAATCTGATTTAAAATATATATAGCCTTTTATTAAACTTTATTACAGTATAAAATACAAGGAAAGATAAGGGAATAGGGGGAGGGGTTCCACATTTTTCTGTTTCTCTTTTGAGAAAGGAAGAAAAACAGCAACGTGCATTTTTTTCAGTGCAGTAGAACAGCGGTCCCCAACCTTTCCACCTTGATGGCCCAGCGTGGGGGGCGTGTAAGTGACAGGCACTTACACACAGCTTCATTAGAGCTTCGCGCAAAACTACTCTCCAATTGTGCAAGTGGAGCTTCGCACGCAAGCACAGCTGTCCTCCACACAAACTCCCTCTACTTGTGCAAGTGGAGCTTCACATGCGCACGCTTGCCCATCGTTCTCACAGCCTGGTTTGAAACAGGCTTCAGCTCAGTAGTGGGTGACGCCCTGGGTGTTGGGGACCTTTGTGGTAGAATACAGTTACAACCTCAACTTTTTGCTTTACATGTTTAGTGACTAGTAGCCATTTCTATAACAACAAAGTTAGTTCATCTAGTCATCAAATCCTAAAATCAAAATTTCATTTTTTTCTGTTTTGAGCATAAAGTCCAGAAGTTGTTTCCACTTGGAAACAAAACTGATTACATTATTTTCTTTAATTTAAGCAGCTTTGTGATACACCTCAGGGATGGAATACAGGAATAGTTTGTCATTGTATGGGTTGGGTAAAAGTAACCTGGGGAGTAATTTTGCTCACATTTTTCTGAAGACCCTGAAAATGGTGTGTGACTTAAAAACACACCAATAACTAACTGGCTGTCTATAAAGATAAAAATAAGCAAAATGTGTTCATTGTCAACTTTCAAAACGACTCTGGCTGAGGCATTCCCCCCCGCCCTGCCCCGTTTCTCGGTTGCCATACAGATGGAGGGAGGATAGAGATTTGGAATGCTATTCTACAGGGTGCTGGACATAACACAGGCAGGGGCTGGTAGAGTCAAGGTCATCTCAACAAGTGCTGAGCAATAAAGGAGGGGAGTGCCTTGAAGAGCCTGCCAGTTACCCAGTTGGGCAACATGATTTGTGACACTTGGAAGGGAGGGAATCATTTACTCTTTTAATTATACTGAACCACAGGAAATGTTTAGAGTTGGCTTTACATTTGAATGTGCCAATATGTACCCATTAAAGAGAATCCAGTCTCAGTGTTCTGACTTGGTTGGAATCATTACTCGGAACCATGACATCAAGCCAACTCTTCTAAATCAACCCTCTGGGGTCCTGAGCCCCGGCTGCCTACCTAGTCACTTCGAGAAGACGGGTAAGACTCTGAAGATGATGGAGAGGTTGGAGGAGAGGTGCCAGCTGGAGCCACTGGTGGAGACTATGACCCATACGATCCAACCACCCCTCACCCGTCGGAGCCCGAGTTTGTCTGCAGTGGCCAGACTGGCCAGTCTACCTCCTTGGTCGGCTGAAGCGGCGAGCCCAGCGGGGTGGCAGTGGAAAACCCCTGGGGGTCCTGGACCATACCAGTGGCCTTGCCCCCCAGGCCCTGGTTGGTACCCTGGCTATTGGGTGTCTCTAACCCCACTGGTGGACCCCCCCTCCAATTGGAGTCACCTTTGACAGAAACCTGGACAAGCTGGCCTTCTTCCTGAACCAGGTACTGGCATACCTGGATCGCTATACCTTAGCCTACTCAACTGGGAGGGCGATGGTAAATGCTGTAGCCACTAACCTGGAAGGGGAGGCTGCGGAGTGGGTGGCAACCCTCCATGATGTGCCAGAGTTGTGGAATGCTGGGGTTTTCCCGAAGGAACTGCGGGCCAAATTCAAAGATGAGACACGAACCCAACGGGGAGGCGGAGATACAAGGCTTGAAGGACAGGGGCCAGCTGGTGAAGGAGTACGTTTGGGAGTTCCAGAAGGTACGGTACTGGCCTGAACAACTGCTCGTCTACCACTTCAAAGAGGACCTTGACAAGGAACTGCGCCGGGTATGTATGTACCAGGGCCTCCCTGACCAGATCAACAAATGGTAGTGGACCACTACGATGCTGGACATTGAACTGCGGAGTTGCAGACTGAGAGGTGACATTGATGCAAGACCGAGAAGGAGTCAGGAGGACTGGCCAGCTGGGAAGCGGGTAACCAACTGCTTCCACCAACCTGCTGGTGGGACCAACCCGGGCCCTCATCCAGTGTTTCCGATGCGGCCAACAGGGCCACTGAGCCACCAACTGCCTGGAGCCTGCCCCAAACCCGAAGGCGGGGTCATTGACATCGACCAAGCTGAGGAAGCCAACGTGGGAGGCATTGGGGAAGACTAGTCTGGCCCACCAGGCTGTGGAGGTCCCCTTTGGCTCAACCGAGGAGGGTGGAACTCTGGCTGAAGGGGAGTCACCGTCTGCACCCTACGACAATGATGAGAGAGTGAGTGAGGCAGTCCGCCCCTTTGCTATTCCTGTGAGGATTGTGGTACTCAAGTCGGGAGTTCAGAGGAGATTTGATGCCCTAGTAGACTCTGGGTACACTCAATGTTTAATGAGCCTGCTGACTGTGTTGAAACTGGGAATCCGAGTGAAGTGTCTATCTAGGGCCATGAGATTTGAGTAGGTTGATGGCTCGCTAATAGTGGGGACCCCTGCTAACCACCTGACCGAGCCAGTGAGGATAGAAATGGCCCAGCACTGCGGGATGATTTGGTTTGTGATAGTCCCAAAAATGACTGAAGCGGTAATCCTGGGACTGACCTGGCTGGACAAGTGGGGCCCAACGATACGGTGGGAAGGTGGAAACAGGAAGATGAGGCTAGAGAGAGGCCCTCTTCCTCCTCCACATGACCAGGACATGCCACCCCTCCAGCGAAATGCAGGTGATAGCCTGAATACTCGGGTGCAGCATCAGAGCAACCTATGGGGACCCAGATCATCCCCAGAGAGTACCAGGATCTGGCAGAGGTGTTCAGTGAGAAGGAGTGGGACATACTGCCTCCACACCGCCCCACAGACTGCACAATTAAAATCATACCAGGGACGAAGCTACCTAAGTCCAAAATGTACTCCATGACCCCTAGGGAGATGAGGGAGTATATCGACAAGAACCTAGCCAGAGGCTTCACCCAACCAGCGAAATCCTGAGTGACAGCTCCATTTTTGTTTAAGGAAAAAAAAGGCAGGACTATGAGATAATGCGTAGATTTTAGAGGGATTAATGGAGTATGTGTGGAAAACATGTACCCCCTCCCTCTGATGAAAGACATGCTGGCACAACTGGCTACGGGAAAGATCTTCACCAAACTAGACTTGAGAGAGGCATATTACCAGATCAAGATCAAAGAGGGGGGTGAGTGGAAAATGACATTCAA